TATTAATAATATAATTAAAATTAATATTAACATTAATAATATATATATATATTATATTTATTATATATATATATATATATTAATAATATTAATTATATAATATTTTTACTATAAATTAAAATAATATTGCGTGTAATTTTAATTACTTGTTGTTTAAAAAAAAAAAGCAAAAATATATTTAAAAAAAAAAAAAAAACAATTGGAAGATACAAATCGTAATAATCAAAAAGGATTGAACAAGGAATAAAGAAAAGAATAGAAAGAAAAAACTACGATCTTTCATCTTCGTTTCCAACATAGCGTGACCATTGAAGTAATCAAAAGAAACGCTATCTCCTCTTATATGTATTTTCTTGTTCGATAAAATGAGAAAAGAAAGATAAAATATGGACGATCCATCGTTAAACAACAATGAACATACCTTGGTATATACCTTGTATACCGGAAGTTAATTTCATTCGAATAGATTAAAAAGTTGTAATAGCGTTAAAAGTTTAGTGTCACGGTTGAACGATGTCTCACGAACAACCACCGGTTCGGTTCAATTCGTTCGTTCATTCGTTCGTTCATTCGTTCGTTCATTCGTTCGTTCATTCGTTGCTTTCATCGGCATCTTCCGCGAATCCTAAGTATTCCTTGTGCAAGACGGTAAAGGTAATGAGAAGGCCAGTAAAAGGGTGTGGTAGTGATAGAAGATGACGATGTGTTGTTGTTGTTGTTGGTTGTTGTGTTGGTAATTGTACTGTAGTATGGGGAGATTCGAGAGTCAAGTTGAATTCCTTGTAATTAACGTGACGTCGACCCACTGACCCACACTCGACTTATTCATTTTGGTTCGTTGCCAAGGAAAAATACTTTTGACAAGTATGGCATATCTCTTTTTACATTATCAAGGATTATCCTTATATTTCAAGGATAATATATATATATTATATATTTTACTTTAAAAATAACTCTCGACGTATACACAGTAAAACACAGGTAAAGTTTTATCAAAAAAAAAAAAAAAATAAAAACTAAAAACAAAAAAAAGAAGAAGAAAGAGAAAGATTTTTGGATGAGACCAGTTGTCCTTCAGGATTCGAAGGACGACACCCTCGGTAAAGAAAGAAGAAAGTATCCCCGGTCGTGAATTCCCCTCTCTCTCTCTCTCTCTCTCTTTCTCTGTGTTTTGCATTTTAATATGGACGATTTTGTATTTCTGGTTTTTCTCGAATTCACGAGAATTCCTTTCTTTTTTTTTTCTATCTTCTTTTTATACGACATATCTTTCTCTTTCTCTTTCGAATAAAAATTCCTCGAATTGAATTTAAAATAAATACTATTAAAAATTTCTTACGATCTTTTACGATTAAAAAATATTATAATAATAATAATAATAATATGTTAAAAAGTGTAAAATGTCCTGAACGAAAAAACTGTTTACTGTTTAAATGTTGACAGGTCAAGGTTTACTGCATTAACTACGAGACCTTGATGCTGCAGTTGTTCAATTTGTTAAACGAACCACTGAATTTTCTTTGAAAACGTTTACACAATTTTGTTGTCTGTTCTGTCATCGCGATAAGTTAATCTGATCGAAGTTAACTCGTAAACAATAGAATAGTTGTCGTTTACCTTGAACGTTGACCATTTACAACTTTTAGTATCCTTTTCTTTCCACAAAGATACAAAGTATTCAGTAATATAATAAATATTCTATAACTATTAACAAAGTAATTATTATTTTTAAAATAACACCTAAGATGTACTAATTCGTTTAAACTCTTTTTTCACGCCAACTTTACAAAACTAATTATTACGAATTACATGATTAACAAAATACTATATAATATAATATAATAAATAATATATATAATAAAATAAATATATAATATAATAAAAATATATATATAGCATTTTATTATATATATTTGTATTAGTAGTATATTATATTTATATTACTATTTTATTATATATATATATTTTTTATTAAATATAATATATATAATAAAAATGTATATAATAGAAAAAAAATAAATATATGTATTATATAATAAATAAATATCTAAATAATAAAATTTCTATTTTTGTACTTAAACAAAAGTAGAATTTAAAAAAATGTTGCTGTTTTGATGTTAAAAAAAAAAAAAAAGGAAGTTTTGAGGAGACCTTTCCCACGCGACCTGTCCTCGAGAAAATTTTTCTTTCCACGACCTAGGAGGTGTACCTTTCTTCAAGATAATCACCCTCGAAGAGTTCCCCACCCAACCCCTCACCCCTCTTTCTACTTTTCTTTCGTCACAACATGGCTTGTTGTTCGGATAACGTATAAGTAGTAGATAAGTATAATATACATATATGAATATGTAAACGTATGCACATATATATATGTTGGCTAAAGTTGCGCAACGAGAATATTCCATGATTTCGCCTTCGCATTCTCGCAGTGCAAAGGAGAACGAATGAACGAATGAACGAACGAACGAAGGAACGAACGAAAGAACCGGAGGGAGTCTCCTCAGTAGACGACCTGACCTCAAGACCTCAAATTGGCTTCTGTCGATTCTCAAAGAAAGAATCCATTTGTGTGCTGCTAGTTTTCTTCGTCATCCAACGAAAAGTTCCTTCACCTTTTAACTTAAATAACATCATCATTATTTTCATTTTTATCTTTTATCTTGAATAAACTACCTTCCCCCAATTTCATGAATAATTTATTAATAATATTATATAATTATTATTTCGAGTATAAAACTAAATTCAAAAAAAAATAAAATAAAATAAAGAGAAATAGTGTGTTGCAATAAAATATATAATAAAAATTAGGTAACACATAGAATATTAGATGAACATTATATGAATATTGATAAGAGATGAATATTATATATAATTTAATTAAATATAAATTAAATGATAGAAAAATTAAATAAGAATATTTGTTAAATTATTAAAATTTAATATTTAATTAAATTATATAAATAATATTTAATTAATATTAATAATAATAATAATAATATAATTATATAGTATCAATATTATAACAATATGAAATATAATGATATATTCATATACATTGTTATATATACATAATAATATATGAACATGGTACAATATTACAATGAACACCCTCAGTCTTCACCTTCACATCTCTCTTTCTTTTTATTTTTTGCTATACAAAAGTAGCAATCGCTGACCTATAAAGGGCAGGTCAACGAAGCATGCCAGCGTTAACGTCAAACCAGCTTTCGTCGACATTCGTATATGTACTGGTCTAACCAACCAACGCATGCCTGTATCTACCTTGAAAATAATTCTATTGGTTCTTTCATTAAATTTATCTACTTACCATAGAACTTATTGATTTTTTACATTAGTACCACAATCCTAATCGAATTAGAAAGTTTCTTTTCTTTTTTTGCAAAAGTACTTGAAGGAGATATCGATGACAGTTGAATGATCTAGATGATTACTTAACACCTTCTATCGTTGATAATTATTTTAAACATCGTTCAGAGAGAGAGAGAGAGATAAAACAAAAATAAGAGAGGAAGTAAAATAAATAATAAGTAGAATTATAACATTCCATTCAATATGTGAGAGACCAGGTAAAAGATAGTCCGTTTCCTTCGACACGATTCTTGGGAGCACCCCGAGTGAACAACGTGCCCGAGGGTCTCGACTCTCTCGCGTTAGCCATGTAGTAGTAGTAGTAGTAGTAGTAGTAGTAGTAGTAATACTAGTGGTTGTATGTGGGTATTATTAATATCTTACTTAGTATTAGTGAATAATGTTAGTGTTGGTGATAGGAGGCGACATACGGAGGTAGTAGGCGCAGGGAGTGTCCGGACAAAATGATGGTGCAATAAGGAAAGAGAATAAGAAAATAATGAAGATAGAAAGAAATAAAGAAATAAAGAAAGAGAGGGGTCTGTCTCACTGGTAAAGAAAGAGTGGGGTACGATCAGCGAAGTCTCACGCTTGACGAGCTGTTCTCAGTCTACGAGTACACCGGTTGAAGTTAGGAGTCTCTCTCTCAGCAGCTTTGCTTTCAAACGCAATAGTAGGGCGCGCGTGCGCCTACAAATTCATAAATATTCTTTCTTTGCTACGTGTATTTTACTCTCTCTCTCTCTCTCTCTCTATCTTTCTTTTCTATACAAGTACGTTGTTGTTTGTGTTTGTGTGTATATTAAAGTGACAGTGTACAAGATAAATTGACAAAACATATCAAGAACATGAGAACAATTAAATGTAGAACCTAAATATTTTTCAATTGAACATATTTTTTAAGTTCTTGAACCACAGGGCAGCCATTTTTCCTTGTGAGGGGGCTTCCAATGTGGCCCACCAAGTGGAAGTACGACGTGTATGCCACCTTCTGCTACCGGCCGCGCCTTTGGATTCCTCAAAGTCCACCGTAGCCAACTCTCGAATTCCTATCAAAGTATCGACCTGTATAATCTTCTCATCAGGGTGGTATATGTGTATCATGTGTATGTAAGCAACGATCTAATAGTAGTTTACTGTACGAGTAGCAAACTCCTTGATACGTGCCGCGAGTTAGCGATCACGAGGCTACACGTGCAGAAATAAAAAGATAGAAAGAGAGATAGAGATTTTCTTTGACGGAGACTACGCCACTGTAAAACGCCGCATACCGAAGAAGAAAAAGAGAGAGAGAGAGAGAGAGAAAGAGAGAGAAAAAGAGAGGGAACTTTGAAACGAAGAAGTTGGGAGGGATAGTAAAGGTGCGAGCAAGTCGAAGGTAGGAATCGTTGTATGAGATCGACGAGGACGAACACAGGAGGTTGAGAGAAGAACGTGTGTAGTAAAAAGAAAGACAGAGAGAGAAAGAGGTAGAAGCAAGGATTCAGAATAGAGTGGTGG